ACAAATTCGGCATGGGTTTGGTGAGTGGCCATGTGGGTGTGCAGGAATGGTTGTGACTGGTTGGGTTCGAATATACCATCGGGCTGATAGCTCAGTTGGTACAGGGATGGGCTTGTAACCCAGAGGTCGCCGGTTCGAATCCGACTCAGTCTCAGCTTTTCCTGTTCACTAAAAAATGATGATTAACACACACACATATATATATATATATATATATATATATATATATATATATATATATATATATATATATATATTTATATCTTAAAATTAATTATTGCTACTCAAGTTTCACGCCTTATTCAAGACGATCTTCAGGCAATCCAGATTGCCTGAAGATCGTCTTGAATAAGGCGTGAAACTTGAGTAGCAATAATTAATTTTAAGATATAAATATATCTTGCTCTACTTTTGTATTAGTGTTGAGCACTTTATTATCTACTACAACAAAACAAATTATATATATATATATATATATATATATATATATATATATAAAATATATATATATATATATATATATATATATATATATATATATATATATATATATATATATATATATATATATATATATATATATATATATATATATCTGTTAAGTTGTGTAATTGTACACTCCGTAATATGTTAAGATGAAAATGTTCTAGAGTGTGTATTATATAATTTCCATACCCAGCGCAAGCAGAAAGATTTTGTCTGCCGCCGCTGGGTCTTGAACTCGCGACCTTCGAATTACTAGGTCGACGCTCTACCAACTGAGCTACAATATATGTATATTTCATAATTTCTAGTCTTTAATCCGTCTGACCGTGTTGATCAGTTGGTAGAGCGTCGATCTAGTAATTCGAAGGTCGCGGGTTCAAGACCCTGCCTCGGCAGACAACATATTTCTGCTTGCGCTGGGTATGAAAATTATATAATAAACTGTAGAACATTTTGATCTTAATACATATATATATATATATATATATATATATATATATATATATATATATATATATATATATATATATATATATATATATATATATATATATATATATATATATATATATATATATATATGTATATGTATATACACTGGATCCGGAAAAGTTTGACCTTCGAATATATATATATATGTCGGCCATTTTGAATTTTCTTGGGTTAATTATACGCGAACGCATATATCAAATGTCGCTCGCAACGTACTGTATATTGCAATATTCGAACAGCTCAAATAAGTAAAGGATCATTGCTTGTAGTTCTTACACATATTTGTAGTAGCTATATAATGAACATTTTAGGGTTGTTAGCTAATTAAATCTTGTCACAATTTGGAACTTGATCTTTTTGGCATGTCGTAATTTATTCTTTTGCATCCTTAGAGATTTAGACGCTTATTAGCATGCCTCGATGAATTTCTTTGTTTATTCTTTCGTATTCACTTGTGCTTATTTTATAGCTGTAACCTACGTCCAGAATAATTATATTTTGCCAACGGAAATTTTAACGGAATCGATAGTCATTCGATATTTCATCCCCTGAAACTCAGCACGCGCAGCATTTGTGACCTGGCGAAGCAGGTCACTATGTTCATTTCCAAATGTTCATTTCCTACTAGCCATTATGATTATGTGCAAGGACATCAATCAATGATTCTTTTATTCATTTGAGCTGTTGGAATAATATTGCAATATGCAATACGTTGCGAGCGACATTTGATGTATGCGTTCGCGTATAATTAACCCAAGAAAATTCAAAATGGCCGACAAATATATATATTCGAAGGTCAAACTTTTCTGGATCCAGTGTATATATATATATATATATATTTATATATATATATATATATATATATATATATATATATATATATATATATATATATATATATATATATATATATATATATATATATATATATATATATATATATATATATATATATATATA